CTCTTGCTCAGGCTGGTCTCGAACTCCTGAGCTCAAACAATCCGCCTGCCTCTGCCTCCCAGAGTGCCAGGATTACAGGTGTGAGCCACCGCGCCCAGCCTACATCAGACACTTCTAAACTATTCTAAGAACAACACAAGCAGTGAGTCAGGACTGGTCCTAACATCTAACTCCTCATAGCCTTGGAACTACATTTCTCCTTCCCACCATGGGCTCCTGTGCCATTATTTAAAAAAAAGTCCCTGGACCTCTTGGTAATTCACCCAATCCTCTAAGAAGGGACTCTGGGAAATCTTATTCCCACCCTTATGAGGAAGGCTACTGTCAGTGACTCAAAACAGATTCACCCTTCTAAGGGAGGTTTCCTCAGTGATCTCCAAGATGATTGTACGTACTTTTCTTGGAGGAGGTAGTGATTCCAAAATAGTTTTCTGCCTTCTCCCTCTTAGGTGAAGGGGAAAAAAATTGAATTTAATTTCTGGCAGGGCATCTTGCTACACATGTAACTAATCTCAAATGGAAGAGCAAAGGTGAAGTGATTTATATTGCAAGAGCCTTCATCTTTAAAATGAATGAAGTAGACATGAGCAAGAAGAGAACAAATGATGAATTTAATAAAGTAAGTGTTGGCTGGATGTGAAAGAAAGCCAAAACCAGCTATTAGTATTTCAACTACTGTGAAGGATTGGGAGAAGTTTCAGATGATGAATCATATTAATACCTCGAGGGTTATTGGAATGGAGGTGTTCCCTTTAATGTTCAGGATTTTGATTTATATAAACACTATTTCTGCCTCTATCCCATTCCCCCCAAAAAGTTACAGTACAACCTAGAATAGGAACTTACGGAACCCAAAGTTGGAAAAAAGTGTCATTTCTTTAGCACAGTATTGCAGAAAGGGAGTAATTAGTCCTCAACTCTTCTTAGTTTGCTTTCAGAGTTTCTGGAGCTAAGAAATTGCCATGGAAATCATAAAATGGAAACCATGATTATGCTTAGTTGAAAACTTTCGCTGTGAGTCACTTTGTATTCAGAGTGGCTCCCCATTCAAATAGGGACTCTGTCCTAACTTAGATGGAGGCTGCTAAGCAAGGACTGGGTCTCGTTTTGCAGCAGTTTATATTTGGTGTGAGTTGCATACTGATAAGAGTTGTTTTATCTAGACCTGTCTAGTGTAGATATTATAGTATCTCATTTTCTTTGAAATTAAGAATGCCTAATGATTTTTCATCCCCAAAGCAAGCTTCTTGCTGTTGCTTCCAATGTTTTGATTTTATTATTTTATCTTTTATATTTGTTTTTAAGTAGTATAGGTAAAAGCTATTCAAAAGAAGGGTGGGGGGAAAGATTGATTGTATCAGAGCCAATTTTGTTTGGGTCGTTCTGCTCCAAGTGAGATAAATGTGCTCAGTGGTTATTTTTGTGTGTTACAGGCCTTTCGGGAAGACCTGGAATGCCTTATTCAAGAACAGATGAAGAAGGGCCACAACCCAACTGGATTACTAGCATTGCAACAGATCGCAGATTACATCATGGCCAACTCTTTCTCGGGCTTTTCTTCACCTCCCCTCAGTATGTCAGTTTTGGAGAGTTTTAAAAATTATAATTTTATCTCCACTTTGGAATACTGATGCCTCTCTAGCCACATATTCTGCTCAGTTTGAGTCCTTGTTTATAACATCTAATACTTAGAGTAATAGTGATAGAATTTCCTACTTTTTCATATCAACCAAGCATGTACTAGACTTTGTGAGGATTACAAAACAGTACAAGACAGGGTCCCAGGCCAGAGGTGGAGGCACGTGCAGTAGTCCCAGCTACTTGGGAGGCTGAGGCGAGAAGATCATTTGAGCCCAGGAGTTTGAGGCCACTTGTGCAACATGGCAAGACCCTGTCTCCAAAAATAACACATGGTCCCTACCTTAGATAAATGTGTATTTTAGTTGAAGAGACATACGATATATGCACAAAAATAATGTGTTATTATAAAAACTATATAGCCATATCTGCAAGATAACTATAGAGGAAAAAATGACAAAGCAATTCGTAAGAAATTGTCTAATAACCTTTTATAAGTTATAATATGTGCATTTACAGTTGAAATTGATTATTGGCTGAGATTATAGACTGAGAAAACCTTATGGAAGAAGACAGGCTTGAACTAAACAGGTTTTAAAAAATGGATTAGTTAGCACTTGATGTAAATGACGGGATAGGACATTTTATTCATTCAGCAGGTGTTTAGTGAGAGCACCAATTTGGTGAGCTGAGCACTGTAAGGATACCAAGAATCGTAAGGACGTAAGCTCTAGTACTTTACATCTCGACTGTGAAATATTTACAGAAATCACTGCAACACGAGGACAGATGCACAGAGAGCTGGAGAAAACTATCAGGGACTGCTTCAGGCCAGATTCAAGGGACGTTTTTTCCTGTTTTTTTCTTTTATTTCTTTTGATCTCCCTTTCTCCCTCCTTTCCTTCGTTTTTTTTTTTTTTTTGTTAGAGATTTTAAAATAGGATTTCAGTAAATACAAATATTTCCCAAATAGAGGGAATAAATTAAAAAGAGAAATGATAGTGGGAACAGGTAAGATGAGGGTGTATTTGTAGAACTGCAAGTGGACCGTTATGTTGGCACATCAGTGAGAGTCCTGGTGCAGAAGCCCAGGGAGACAAGTTGGGTCTGACTGAAGAGGGCCTTCGCTGTTAGACCAAGGAGGGCTACTAGCGTGGACAGTGAAAAAAACTTGTGAAGAAAGAGTTGCTAGGCGATAACATATAGGTGTTTTGTGTGTGTGTGTGTGTGTGTGTTTGAGACAGGGTCTTGCTCTGTTGCCCAGGCTGGAATGCAGTGGCATGATCATAGTTCATTGCAACCTCATACTCCTGGGCCCAAGCAATTCTCCTGCCTCAGCCTCCCAAGTACCAAGGACTACAGATGTGCGACACCATGATGATAATTTAAATGAGTACCAGCAAAGGGAAAGAAACTAAAGTCAGATCAGTTAAAGAATCCTTCAGAGAATCTTGATGTGAGGTGTAAGTACCTAAATTAGAGTAGTGGTTGTGGGTGTAAGATGGAAGAGACCAGTAAGAAAGGCATAGCCAAGGAAAGTGTAGATAGGTCCTAGTTAGCAGGTTTGATGTGGTGATGTCTTTGGTGAGCAGAAAAAATGATGAGTTCCAAAATCAATGAGTTTTCCAGTTTGGGAGCAATATTCTACCAGAAGAAACAGAAAAATTCAAAGGTTGAGCTAGTTTGATTCACTTTCTATAATATTGAGCATCTTTTATGTGCAAAGCACACTTTTTAGGGACAGGGAATACAGTGATAAACAAGACAGACAGGATTCCTTTTCTCATGGAGACAGAAAATGGACTAAAGAAATAAACAATATTATCAGATAATAGGGAGTGCTATTCAGAGAATTACAGTATGGTGATGTGATAGAGAACAACTGGGTGGCTACTTTAGATTGGATGATCAGAGAAAACCTCTCTGAGCAGGTGACATTTAGACTGAAATCTAATAGCAAGGAGTGAACTATACCAAGATCAAGAGAAAGCATTCCAGGTCGAGGCAACTAGTACAAGTGCCAGATGAGAATAAGATGGCGGGAATAAGTTTAGCCTCTTCAAGGGACAAAAATAAAGATAATGGTCTGGACCATGGCTTTCAAGGGGACAGTAGAACAAAGATCAGAAACACAGGCAGAGACTAAATCATATTAAAATCTGATTTTAATATGACTGGATATAAATCATATCACAGCCGGGTTTGGAAGTTTGGATTTTATTCCTAACTTTGGGAAGCCATTTTAAGCAGGAGGATGATTTACGAAGACCACTGTATGTTTTGTGTGAAGAATGAACTGGGAGATTTCATAGTATTATTAACAAAAATAGGAAAGTCCAGCATTGGAGATCTAGTTTGGCTTGGGAAATGGAGAAAGTTCGACTTCAGGCATGCTCAATTTGAGTTGCCAAGACATTGCCGCAGTTGGAACAGCAGTCTGAGAGCTTAGGAGGCAGACTTGGCCGATGGACATAGAAAAATATTACTTAAAGCTGTGGACGTTGATTAAATTATCATAGAAGAGGGTATAGGCAGAGAAGAAAAGGGCCCAAAGAGAAAATTTCAAAAGTTCGAAGAGGAAAACTAGTCAGGGAAGACAGATATAATGAAAGAAGCTATCCTGTGAGTGTCCTAGATTCCATGGCAGCTACAGGAGATTTTGGCTGGCTGGCTGGAATGTACAAAGGCATGGCAGCAGGAAAGCCATATGCCAGCATTCAGAGTTCAGGAAGTAGAAATCAACCAGTTTGCCTGCAATACTTGTGTTATCAAAAGTGGAAGTTACAGCTGGAAGGTTAGGGGGAGAGTAGGAGTTAGGTTAATGGCTGACTCTAAAATTTTGTCAAAAATTATGCTACCTTGTATAGCTAACATGTTAAAACTATTTCTTTGAATTAGTTTGAAACATTTCAAAATTAGGAGATCTTACATTAAAATATTGATTTGGGCTTCTCTTTAAAAGTTTCCTACTGGGCCCATATTCTCAGGTTAAAAGCTGTGCTTTAGAAAACTCAATCTGTTGGTTTTATGCAGAATGGATTTACAAAGAAAAGGGCTACAGGCAAGGACAAGAATGAGAAGGCTTATTGCAGGAGTCCACACATGAGTTAAGGCCTGAACTCAAGTATGGAAAATGAGGGACCTTGTGAAGAAAAGAATCATGGAATGTAGTGACAAATTACATATGATGGCCCAGGAAAGGTTGAGAGGTAAAGGTTACTTAGAGTTTGAGCCTGCAGGAATTATAATATCATGAGTATTAGAAGAAAAGTAAGGAAAAGAGAAAAAGATAAGAAAAATCAGGAGAGTTAAGATGAAATCACTCTTAGACCCTTTAAATTTTTATGTTATTGTGTTGTAGGCAGTTAGCAAGGGCAGGATGGAGAATGGGGAGGAGGTCAGAGATAAACAGTGGGGAGTAATCTACGCAGAAGTAACGTTGGGGAGGCTTAGAAATGTTTGATGTTTTTATAGGGAAATGTGGAACGAGAAAGAAACATAATGGAGGACTGAGCTTTGAGAAGGAGCCACAGCTGGGGGAAAGTGGGGGATAAAGAACTTACTGAAGGAGAAAAGAAGTAGATGGAAAGGGAACGAGAGATCCAGGATAGTATCACATGGCCCTGGAGAAGAATTCTAGGAAAAAGGCAATATAAATGGTGTCAAGCTGAAAAGAAGTCAAGGAGAATGAAGACTGAGCAAAAGCTGAAGTTGGTAACAATTGAACTTGGCAATAGGATCGTTAGAGACCTTCAAGACTACTTCAAGATCTTCCAAGAGGGCAGAAGCCAGACTACTATTTGAATGCATTCTTTTCCACTTTAAATGCTTTTTGTGTTTAAATAAAAGTTAAAAGAGATATTAGAAAAGTAGCTTTCTGTTGAAGGCTTTTCATCATAAAATTAGCAGTAACCTCAGTATTTAATAACACTTTCACCTTTGGGGTCATGTAACCATTTTTCCCCAGTGGTGTGAGTCTTTGCCATGATCACTCCCTAGCAAGTACTACATGAAGCAACTTTTACCAAGCAATCAAAGGTAGCCGATACTTATTTTTATTCTCAGTGTACTTCTCTGAAGAGGATAAGCTAATGAAACATTGTATGGGCTGATAAATTTCAGATTATTATTTACAAGGCTTAAGGACACTCCCAGACACAGGCTCCTTCCTGGCAGATAATTTCCAGGTAAGGGATTACTTGACTTGAATTTCTCCACAATTTTTTCTCTTTTAGGTCTTGGCATGGTCTCACCTATCAATGACCTTCCGGGTGCAGACACATCCTCATATGTGAAGGGAGAAAAACTCACCCGCTGTAAACTCGCCAGCCTGTACAGACTTGCAGACTTGTTTGGGTGGGCACACCTGGCAAATACATACATCTCAGTGAGTTCTTTAGCTTTCAGTTCCTTTTGTATAAAATTCCAACCATAAGGCAACTGTACTGTTTTCAGACTTATTCTCTGAACCTAGCATGCTGGATCACAACCAAATGCTGATTTAAACCTTCTCTCCGAGCCAGAGGCTACAGTTCCCGCACGTTTCTTTCCCTTTACTATCTTTGTCCTTCCTTTCATTCAGACCAGCTGCAGAACCTATCCAGGAAGAAACCTTATAGCAGAATTGTCCCTCTCTGTGATAATTATATCTGAGCATGAGTGGCGTTAAAAAGCATTTGAGGCAAGGAAGATAGAAAGGGTCAAGGAAGTTTCCTCCCTGGCTTTTATTTTTTAAATACATTTTGCCCATTCACTATCCTTTTGTTTTCACTTTGCCACACTTGGAAGCAAGATGCTATTTGGAAGGAGAAATGTATCAATATTAAGATATGTGATGGAAATGGCATAGACACATGGCACAGTCCACCAACAGTCTCTCTCCTTTCCCCCCAGCCATTCCTGAGTTTCCCTCTTTCATCTTTGTCTTAATTCCTTCCTAGGAAGAGATTCTGTTCTCTTTGCCCATTTTCTCTTAATTTCCATGTTGTGAATTAAGGTTATAATCATTACCACATTGGGTTGAATAGTATTGGCATTTATTTTTTATGAATGTGGCTGACCCTAAGCAACCTTAGGACCTCAAAATAACACTTTAGGTAGTAAGTCCAGTAAATGAGAGACTAATATTAGAATTTTTCAGTGCTTGAGTGTTAAGGAGAACTTTTAAGGAAAGTTTCATGCTACAGACCTTTAATTTTTTGCTTTGTTTCTTCCCCTTGTCATATCTTAAAGTTATACATTGTAAATATTATCTCTAGTCATGTTTAAACTGCAAAATATGAACACTTCATAGTAATTCTCTATTATTTTTTTCTTTTTTCCAGGTAAGAATAAGTAAGGAGCAAGACCACATTATTATAATTCCCAGAGGCCTATCTTTTTCTGAAGCCACAGCCTCCAATTTGGTATAATTTTCATTCCTATGTTTCTTTTTCTGAGCTTTCTTGTGCTTTTCTGACAGTTTTTAGCTTTTAGCACAGAACGAAACAAGAAAAGGTACGGATGGAAAAACATTTACTAGTGAGCAGTAAAGGGATTGGAAAATTATGTTGATTTTTCAGAAAAGCTTTAGAGTTCAAGAAAAACAGGGTAATTGAGACAAATAAATGAGTTGATCTTATAAGTTAACTTCTCCATATTTTGAAGGGAATCTTTTGAATTTTCTCCTATCCTGTACAATCTGGAATTTGTTTTGTTTTGTTTTCTTAAAAAAAACACATAAAGTCTGTGTGTATTGTAGCTAGATTTAAACGTTTAGTTGGCATGAGTATAGGACCTGACCATCTAACATTTTATCTTTTCCATGATTGTACTCCTAGCCACTGTCATCAGCTTATACGACAGCAAGAGATACATCAGTTTTGGGTGCCGTGATGTTAGCAAATGGAAATTTTCCAGCCAGTTCAGTAAATGCCAGACTTGTCCAAACTTCCAATGAAGAACCTATCTTCGCAACTGTGCTTCTTGCTAAATACTAAGTTTTGTTGCATACTACCTGTTTTATAACTAAAGTTTTATGGAAACAAAGCTAAACCCATGCTTTTACAAATTGTTTATGGCTACTTTTGTACTGCAGCAGCAGAGTTGAGTAGTTGCAGCAGAGGCCTACAAAGTCTGAAATATTTACTATCCGGCCGCTAACAAAAAAGTTTGCCACCCCCTGGTTTAGCTTACGGAACACAAACAAACTTTGATACATGTGTACCGGTTAAATATGTCTTTCTGATGTATTTCCAGGTGAAAGTCAATATAATAGGAGAAGTGGTTGACCAGGGAAGTACTAATTTGAAAATTGACCATACAGGATTCAGTCCCCATGCTGCAATCTATTCAACACGTCCTGATGTGAAGTGTGTGATACACATCCATACCCTTGCAACAGCAGCTGTAAGTCAATGAAGAACCAAAACGAACAATGACTCTGGAAAATACATTATTTTCATGGCTTTCCCAACGTGATGCTTTACTATCTGCTTTCCTTCAGACCCTGCCATGCCAAATCATATTTGAAATATTAATCCTCTGCATACCCAGAAAGCAAAAGGCCCTTGGGACCAAATGCTACCATTTTAGGAAACAACTGGAGAGAGAGCATTTGGATTTTAAAACTAATCAGTTTAATAAGTGGGTCATTGAGTTTTTTGGAGCAAAGCTTCTTTCATAACACTTGACACATACACAGCATTTAAATTGAATTGTATCCCCCTAAATCCTTCCCTTTTTTGGGGGAGGGAGCAAAGAACTAAAGTGGGAGGTGGGCTGCAATGGAGAACACAGTGAATAGGCCAGTGCTTCCTGAGCTGACCAAAGAATCAGGTTCCTATGAAAATGTATTTAGTAACTAAATGGGTCATCTTGGTATGCACCCAACCAAATAGGTATCCTCCATGAAGTGTGGGATCCTTCCAATTTCTCAAGAGTCCCTTATCCTGGGAGATGTCGCCTATTACAACTACCAAGGATCTCTTGATGAACAGGAGGAGAGAATTCAACTGCAGAAAGTTCTTGGGCCAAGTTGTAAGGTATGTAGCAGAGTTTCTGTCTAAGGAGCTATTTTTGTTGCTGCTGCTGTTGATGAAAACCGTGTGAGCTATGCCAGTTATTTAAAGTGATTGCTCTGGGGATTCTATTCTAGGTGCTGGTCCTCAGGAATCATGGTGTGGTAGCACTTGGAGAAACAGTGGAGGAGGCTTTTCATTATATTTTTAATGTGCAGATAGCCTGTGAGATTCAGGTAGGAAAAATTATTTCCCTTTTTTTATTGCTTTGTTATTCACTCGTTTGGATTTTGTTATTTCCAAACCTCTTTTGGTTAAAGGGTTTTTTATTTTGTCTTTTAAGAGAAGTTCTGCTCTACTTAAGTGAAAAGGGGTTGTCTACTCAGTTATCACTTGAATTGAAAACGGGAAAAGAAATGAAAATTTTCTTACACAAATCTAAGTGCCTCATAAACATCATTTTGCCCACAATCCTACTTTTAAAGATAGTACAATTGCCCATTTCTGTTTTCACCCTATAGTGGTGGGGCTAACTGAGAAACAAAGGCAGCCTCAAATCAGCAAGAATCAAACGTGGTGTTGCCACTTTTGTGAAAAGCTGAAGACTAGGGCCAGGAGTTTTATGAACTCATGTGGTTTTTCAACCATTCCACAGCCTCATTATTATAATAGGTTGGATATTTATTAACCATTTTCTTCCTCAGTTGAAGCAGATTACATTTTTAAAGGCCCCAGGTTCTCTCTTAAAGAAAATCAATCAGATTCTCTTGAAGCAATGGTAATAATCTTAATTTATTAGAAGGGCCACAAGAAAGGGGAAAAAACTTTTCTACCAACTTTATTTATTTATTTATTTATTTATTTATTTATTTTTCTGCCAGCTTTAACTTGTCCTAATTACCAACTTCTTTTTTTGCTTTAATGGTCCCTCCTCTTCTTCTCAAATGGGGATATGAAAAGTTTAATTAGATTAAGATAATGAGCTAATGACTTCTGCCTAAATATCCTTAAATTCAAAGTGTAGTGTTTCTATACTCCTTTAAAATTACAACTTTTGGCAAAAGTATTAACCAGATAGCCATGGGAAAACTTCAAGAAGAAAACTTTAAAATTTGGCAAGAGATTTCACAGTTGCTTGAAATATGTTAAAAGGTATGGCTCTATATGTGTTATGGATATTTGCCAAATTGAAATTGTGCCTTTTTCAAAGTAAAATACTCACTACAGTCTTTACGGTTTTGTGTGTCTGTGTGTTTTACCATTGGTTACAGGTGCAGGCATTAGCAGGGGCAGGTGGGGTAGACAATCTACTTGTGCTGGACCTTCAGAAGTATAAAGCTTCTACTTATACTGTAGCAGCATCTGGAGGAGGAGGCGTGAATATGGGTTCCCATCAAAAATGGAAGGTTGGCGAGATTGAGTTTGAAGGGCTGATGAGAACTCTGGACAATCTGGTAGGTGAAAAATTGAACGTAAACTTGGCTTTCATGTTTTCTGAATCAAGAGCAGATGTTTCCGTCTCCCTTTGATTTTGGAACATGCTTCTTACTCCCCTAGGAGCAGAGTTGGACCTTAGGAAGGCATTTTGATGTGATTTAACCACATTTTTAAGAATTAAACAGTGGAACATGTCATCTTTTTTTTTCAAGAATATAATACATTGTTATTTACTATAGTCACTATATTGTACAATATAGCTCTTGAACTTATTCCTCCTATTCAGCTGAAAGTTTGTATCCTTTATCCAATGTCTCCCTACCCCCACCTCCTGATAACCATCATTCTACTCTCTACTTTTAGTTCAATTTTTTTTAGATTCTATGTATAAATGAGATCATACAGTATTTGTCTTTCTGTGCCTGGCTTATTTCACTTAATGTCCTCTAGGTTCATCCATGCTGTTGCACATGACAGAATTTCCTGCTTTTTTAAGGCCGAATAGTATTCCATTGTGTATATATACCACGTTTTCTTTGTCCATTCATCCATTGATGGACACTTGGGTTGATTCCATATCTTGGCCATTGCGAATAGTGCTGCAGTGAATATGGGGGTACAGTTATCTCTTCGACGTACAGATTTCATTTCCTTTGGATATACACCCGATATCGGGGCTGCTGGATCATATGGTATTTCTCTTTTTAATTTTATGAGGAACATACTAATTACATTCCCACCAACAGCATACAAAGGTTCCCTTTTCTCCCCACATCCTCTCCAACACTTACTTTTTGTCTTTTTCATAATAGCAATTCTGACAGGTGTGAGATGATATCTCATTATGGCCCTAATTTGCATTTCCCTGATTAGTGATGTGTCGAGCCTTTTTTCATATACTTCTTGGCCCTTTGTATATTGTTTGAGAAATGTCTGTTCAGATTCTTTGCCCAGTTTTTAATCAGGTTATTTCTTTCTTTGCTATTTATTTGTTTGAGTCCTTGTGTATTTTGGATATTAACCCCTTATCAGATGTATGGTTTGGCAAATGTCATCTTATGTTAGATTTTACCCTCTTCCATGAAGAGTCAGAAGACAGATTGCCTTCAGACCCAGGAACAAAGATTTAAATGAGCACTGAGATTTGGTTCCCAAAAACAGTTTTATAGGTAGAAAAACATTTCTAGTCAGCAGTTTAGAAATTACCTCTGTCAGGAACAGTTGTGTGAGTGGAAATTGCAGTGTCAGCTGGAATCAGTTTTAACTGGATCTTGAAATTTTCTTGATTTCAACTCTAGTGTTATGTGGAGATTGTGGGGTTTGGAAGAATGTCTTCCCCCTAATTTGTTTTTCAACAAAGGCGTCTTTTTGAGTCATTTGTTTAAAGAATTAGAATCCAAATGCTGTTTTGGTACAGGTTCGATTGCTTCAAATGTGGTTTTTCCCTTCCTTAGGGGTATAGAACAGGCTACGCTTACAGGCATCCTCTCATTCGTGAGAAGCCAAGGCACAAGAGTGATGTGGAAATCCCAGCAACTGTGACTGCCTTTTCCTTTGAAGACGATACAGTGCCACTCTCTCCTCTCAAATACATGGCACAGAGGCAGCAGCGTGAAAAAACAAGATGGCTGAACTCCCCGAACACCTACATGAAAGTGAATGTGCCTGAGGAGTCTCGGAATGGAGAAACCAGTCCCAGGACCAAAATCACAGTATGCCAACATTTTACATAGTTTGCCTTTACTAATATTGGGGCAGTAGAATATAAGAAAAATATGACTATCATTTACCAGGTTTTAACTTTTTGCAAGGCATTGTTCTAAGTGTCATATGTGAATTATCTCATTTAATTCTCCTACTGTGAAATGATTCTGTTTTTCTTCCTATTTTGTAGATGAGAAAACCAAGGCAACAAGGGCTAACTATTTTTTAATGGTAAAGTCAGGATTTGAATGCAGACAGTCTGACTCTGGAGCCCAGTTCTTACCCACTGCATGATACTACCTTGTAGTTAATACTGCACCAGTGAATTAGAACTATAAAGTTACCAACACCTAATTGTGCCAGAGTTGTGTGAATTACTATACATAGCTACACTTAGGTGAGATCTTGTAGGTAAAGAGATAGGTTATTTTATCTTTTTCAGAATTTTGCTTCACATTTGGTTTAGTTTTGGAATGCTTACCATCAAATATTCTCTAAATACTCAAAATTAGTTCATCCTATCATATAAATCAATAGCATTCAATATGGAAATGCCTAGGCATCACAGAATTTTTTCATAGTCTACAAGATTTCTTGTCTCCCAGTAAAAGAACGTAATTAAACTCATAAGTTTCCCAGAATTCATTTTATTGGCAGAGATTGATGGTCAGTCATCGTTAATCTTGATAAATATTAGCTTTCTTTAAGGATTATAAAATGGGATAAATGAGAAGAATTATATAAGCTCCTTCCAATCCTGTGGTTCTGTTATGCTGTGTACTATCAGATTATCCCCATTATAAAATGCTGATTAGGGGCTTGGCCTTTTCCGTCAGCCAAAAATGAAAGTGAAGTCTGGAAAACTAACTCTTAAGAGATTCCTTGAGTTCTTTTTGATGACTGCTTAGCCATCATCATCTGATGAAACTTCAGTGTAGGAGACAGAACTCTGAATGTGAGTTAATCGGCGATCAAGCTCTCTGTGCTCACAATAGTTTTCAGCATGATATTTTCAATTGCCAAAAGGAGAAAGTTTAATTAACAGTGTAATTGAGTATTCATGTGAATAGTAATGGCATTTTAATTTTTTAAAAAAGTGAGTGCTTATTTTTAGCCTTTTTCTAACTAGTATGAGATGTAAACTAATTGACCACTAAGATATTACTTAGGGAAATTCTTTAAAAGATTGACAATATATATGCCCCCCTTGAGACTATAAACAGTTATCAAGCACGTACTAATATTTTCTGAACACAAAGCTTCATTCCAGACAATTTTTGATTCTTTAGTGGATGAAAGCAGAGGACTCCTCTAAAGTTAGCAGTGGAACACCTATCAAAATTGAAGATCCAAATCAGTTTGTTCCTTTAAACACTAACCCGAACGAGGTACTAGAAAAGAGAAATAAGGTAAGACATGGTCTTATGTGGCCAGGGGAGACATTTTTCTTCTGTTTTATGTTTAAATCACTAGTGATTGAGTCTGATTAATACTGAACTTAGGAGTTTGAATACAGAAGAATTTGGAATTTAATTCAATATAATTTTAGCTTGTATTGAATACCTCCAGTTCTGTGCTAATCATTAGTGAACAGGCTACATGGGGAAGAAATACTAAACTACTTCTGCCTTAATGAAGCCTGGTGTTAGGGGAAAATGCAGTTTTCTAACAACGTAAGACGATAGGAAATCACATGCCAAGAATGGTGGAGATTAATGTGAGTTGTTAAGATGGTAAAAGAGGTCTTTATGGAGGTGGAAATTGAAGAGACTTTTACTCTAGAGTGATCAAATAGTGAACTTTTAGGAAAAGAGAAAGCAAAGGTCATCTGTATAGTTGCCCCCAAGAACTTGTTACTGTTTTTCAATTCAGATTCGGGAACAAAACCGTTATGACTTGAAAACAGCAGGACCACAATCTCAGTTGCTTGCTGGAATTGTTGTGGATAAGCCTCCTTCTGTAAGTCCACGAAGCAACGTGATCTTTGTTTTTGATCTACACATTAATTTCTTTGCTCTTTAAATACGAATATTTTTACTAAGGTTAATATAATCATAAGTTAAAAAGTCAACTCATAAGACTTAAAATACTACCTTCATTTCCCAATTTCCAGGGGCAAGGACTTTCTCTTCTTTTAATTGCTTCTAGCATTTATCTTGATGTTTCTAAAGAGAATCTTTATTCTGCTTTTTCTTGATCTATCAGTTTTAGACCTTGACTGTATTTTATCAGATCTGTGTCATCCATTATAAGATGTACCATTATTTTATGTATCACTAAAAGAAAAAAAACACTTATCAATTATAATTGTAGGAAGCTATGAATTATAAGATAATTCCCAATTTCAGAGATGGGAAAAGTTCATTCAGTGTTTATATTATTATTATACATGTTTGCTGCTGAGCCAGGTAGTATTAATATTTCCTTCCACCCTTGAGTTAATAATTGCCTCCCTTTTTTATTTGCTTAGCATTTTGGGTACCTTGCCTTGGGTCCTCCCAAACTTTTCAACAGAATTACAAAGTCCCTCTTAATACTATTTTCCATAGCATCAAAGGCAACAGGTAATCTTTCTGTTCCAGCCCCCAGTTATTCTGGTCCAAATCTGGACTTCTTGTTCTCAGCTACATAGGCTCATTCTCAGGATTCCTGTGCTTCTCGTCTATGCTGTATCCTCTGTTTCCTGTATCTTGTGTCCTCTGATTCCTTAATTTACTCTATCATAGAGCGCATACTCTAATAGCTCTCTGAGAAAGTATACATAGGATGTAACAGTTTGAAATGCCTTTATTCTACCTTCAAATGTGCCTATAATGGGTATAGAATTCTAGTTTGGAAATAATTTTTTCCCCAAATATGAAAAGTATCACTCTGTTGTCCCCTAACTTTTTTTTTTTTTTTTTTGAGACAAGGTCTTGCCCTGGCTAGATTATGTCATTATAACTCACTATAACCTCAAACTCCTAGACTCAAGTGATCCTCCTGCCTCAGCCTCCCAAGTAGCTGGGACTACAGGTGTGCAGCACCATGTCCAGCTAATTTTTCTGTCTTTTGTAGAGACAGGATCTCGCTCTTACTCAGGCTGATCTCAAACTCCTGGTCTCAAGTGGCCCTCCTGCATTGGCCTCCCAAAGTGCTAGGATTGTAGGTATAAGCCACCACGCCTGTCGTGTTCTCTAACTTTTATTGTTGAAGTAAGATGGCATCATGATTTCTGAACCTTTGATAGGATCCTTTTTTTTCTTTTAGACCTTTTCTACATCCCTGCTGTTCTGAAATTTTGATTGTATACTTTGTAGTAGATCTCTTTTTAGTCTCTGTTCTTAGCAATTAGTAGCCCTTAGCATTAATAGCAGATTGATCTGCAAAGTCATATCCTTCACTTCTGGGAATTTTTTTTACAGTTTTTCTTCAATAGATTTCGCACCCTACACCCGCTCCCCCCCCCCCCCCCCCCCCCCCCCCCCCCGCCCCCCGCCAATTTCTCTCTTTTTATTGTCAGTATATCCTGTTAGTTTGGATGTTTTGCATCTTTGAGCCTCTGATTTTTTTTTTTTCTTTTTCTACTACTTTGCATCTCTTTGTCTTTTTTTAATCCTGCTTTCCAGAAGATTTCTTAGTTTTATTTTCAACCTTTTTTTTTTTTTTGAAGAGTTCTTATTCCCTAAATGTTTATCCCGATCTTTGTTTCATGAATAAATTTTCTCTTGTTGCTCTAAGGGAATCTATTTTAAATTTTCTTCAGCCTTTGTTGTCTTTGTTTTTTCTGAGTTCCCTTTTTCTTGTTGATTCTGGTCTTTCTCCTCCACTTTGGAAGCTTTCCTCAAGTGTCTGGTAATTTGTGGCAGTCCGTTTACATTAAAGAACGAAACACTAAACGCTGAGCAGAAGCTCTGGGTTGTCCAGAGCTTGGGGATTGGTGAGCTGCTCTGCAGGGTGGCTGGATGTGGACCAGGCTGCTTCTCTGGGGAATCCCCAAACATTACTATCTGTGGTTCTTTTATCTGGGACCATTTAATTTATCCAGAGAAGAATGCTTCAGTCAGTTTCCTACTGTCGTTCTGTGAGCTGCAGCTGTGTTTTATGTCCCTTAGTTTTTTCTAAAGAATAAGCCTCTGATCTTCTGCTGAATTGGGAGAGAGCTAAATGCTTGGCTATGTGGAGTAGGACCTGGGAATCTGTTTCTTATCCATACTTTTAACTTGTCCCCTTATTTTCAGCTTTTCCTCACCATCACTTTCTGTGGTACCTGATGCCTCTAGTTTCTGAGCCTTATCAGACGTCTTCAGGGCGAATGAGCATGCTTCTCATCTGCATCCCTTTTTGCAAGACTAGTGCTTCAACTTTCTCAGCTCTGCTACCCATTCTTCCACTTGCTTTCTATCTTCCATAAATGTGTTAACACTTCTCATCTTCTGTTGTCTCCTCTCCCATTCTTTTGTCCTTAAAAGTTTACTATCATTTTGGTAGGATTTGGGGAGGGATCAAAAATAAATGCATGAGTTCCATCTGCCTGGTATAACTGAAAGTCTTATTAGTTCCTTTCCTAGAGAAAACAGCTACAAGTTTATTTTTATAACAAATTTAAGGAAGTTCTTTTGGTATGTTTTCATTCATCTAAGCCTTTTTTACAAAGGATTTTGAAATGGAGCGATTCTTGTTTTTTCAGTATATTTCTCAGTTATATAAAGCTTATTAGAGCTTGGCTTGGTTTTTTTGTTTGTTTGTTTGTTTTTAAAATATTATTAAACTTTACCTATACAAGCTTATTGAGGAAACATCACTGGCAATTTTAGTCCTTTGGATAGTAGTCTAAGAGCATTAATAAGAGTATTTTAAGCAAAGCATGTTGCCTCATCATTTCTTACGATTGTTGTGAGTAGGGTTTCACAAACATTATGTATGCATTTACACGCATATGTGTATATGAGTGTGCATATATAGATAGTAAAACTTGTGGTAATGAGTCGATTTTTTTTTCTTTCTTTCTTTGTAAGACCATGCAATTTGATGATGATGATCATGGCCCACCTGCGCCTCCTAATCCATTCAGTCATCTCACAGAAGGAGAACTTGAAGAATATAAGAAGACAATCGAACGTAAACAACAAGGCCTAGAAGGTTAGTTAATTTTTATATAAAGTCTAGGATAACCACATTGATAACACCCCAAGTTGGATGATAGAAAGCAGTCAATGGTTTTTTAATTTTTTAATTTTAATTTTTCTTTTTTGATCAATTGTTCTATTTCATCTATCCCAGTCCTTTACTTTGTATATGTGGGGCTGAAACGCACAGAACTACCATAGACCATGTATCTTAACACGTAGAGAAAGTTGTTCTTCCTCAGAAAGGAATCTCAGTGCTCGTTGTTTTACAGTAAAATCATCTATAAAGTGAAATCCCCAGATGAGTAAAGAATTACTAGCCAAAGTAGATATATTAATAGATGTAAACATTTCATAGTACATGGCTTTTCAAATCTTATTTTGAGATAATTATAGATTCACAAGTTTATGGTTTTATTGCTTTGTAAAATCTCTGTTCCTGGGTGTCTCAGGGTTGCCAGTATTGTCACTTCAAAATCAAAATTTAAAACTGCTAGAATTTTGATGTGGCTTTCCTTAAGTATGTGGGCATTCTTAGTGAGGTTGAATTTTTCTGACTTTGGAACCCTTAGTAAGTAGATTGTTAGGATTATAGTTTAGAATTGCTAATGAAAACATCCTAGCAAAGTGATCGCTAGCTCCTTTTCTCTCTAGGATTCTTTATAACAGCAGTTCTCAATCTTGGGTCTTTGGATAAGCTTCAGACAGTCTGTGAGCCACCTGAAAAATACATGCTTAATTGTACACTATATACATTTGGGGAAAGAGGGTTCAGGATAGGGATAAGAAGTCTGCGACCTCAAAAGGGGGCAAAAGTTTCTGCTTTAGAGCATATGCAGTTGACATTTTTACCCAGTGCTAAACAAGCCAATAGTTAAAGAACTGTTGCCATGTTAGATATCATGTAGGAAAAACAAATGATATCTTGATAATCCAAGGAACAGTTTTTATCAGTGTGTTAGTGCTTTTGTCACAAAAGGGAGTCATCCTGAGTCATTAATATAATTACACTAAATGTTCTAAGTGGTAATGTTGTATTTGTTTATTCTAACATAAGGTTGGGAGCTTTCTCTTTTTTTATATTTTGTAAAATGTCCCTCTTATTCTCTTATTTTTTGAAAGCCTAAAGATGCCAGGTAACAAATATATACATATAACTTTATAGTTTCTTCCACATTCATTATGACCTTCTCAGTTAGCACAGTGCTATTGCTCTGACAGAAATCACCATTGGATATTGTTCAACAATTCAGTGAAGCATTCTGCCTCATTAACGTAGCCTCATTGGTGAGGCTTTACATTGTTTTCATCTGGCTTCTCAGTCTGTTTTGGTTTTCTAACACCAGCAAAAGCTAAATGCACACATATTATTTGCCTGGGCTGCCAGTTTAGCTATGCTTCCTTTGTAACCCTGTATGTAAAATTACTATTAGCAGCCAGAAATTTTAACATGTTAACTTACTTCCTCTCAATGCACAATTATTGATATATGGGATAACCGTTAGCATGCTCAACTCATTGCTGAAGAATTTAGCATCTCTGTGTATGCAGGCATTTGATGTATGCTCTAACCTCCCTAAAATCTTTTGCTGCTTTGTTTTGTTTTGCATGGCTTTTAACTAAACTCTTATCCAACAGATGCTGAGCAGGAATTACTCTCAGATGACGCTTCATCTGTTTCACAAATTCAGTCTCAAACTCAGTCACCGCAAAATGTCCCTGAAAAATTGGAAGGTATTCAATGTAATTTCCCATAGCATTCACTGAGTCAGTCTTGAGTCTGTCCCTTGTCATTTGTTTTCATGTAAGGAAATTGAACACCTGATCAGAGTAAGTGTGCCATGGATTTTTCAAATCTACCAATAATTTATATTATTAAATGTGGTGCTACTTTTGTTCATCATATATATTGATTTACCTTACATTCTGGGTTTTGGCCAGGCACAGTGGCTCATACCTGTAATCCCAGCACTTTGGGAAGTGGAAGCAGGAGGATCATTTGGGGCCAGGAGTTTGAGACCAACCTGAGCAATGTAGCAAGACTTTGTCTCTGAAAAAAATAAAAGAATTAGCCAGGCATGGTACCTCATGCCTGTAGTCCCAGCTACTTGGGAGACTGAGGTGGGAGGATGGGAGGATCACTTGAGCCAAAGTTCGAGGCTACAACGAGCTATGATTGCACCACTGTACTTCAGCCTGGGTGACAGAGCGAAATCCCATCTTTATTAAAAAAAAAAAAAAAAAATCTAAGTTTTGGCAACCCATAGCACCTAAGAATTTGTGGAATTAAAATTGATTTGTCATGCGTCTTCCAATCAGCGGCATGAAATCCTTTTCAGTTTTGATAGCCAAATGACCCCAAAACTAAGGAAAAATATGTTGTCTTTTTCTTATATACTGATGTGATTTACAACGAAACTGTCATGTCGTCAAACTGGAATTATCTAGCTTTCACTGTTTAATAATTTTGTTCCTTTCCCCTTTATATCATTTAAGAAAATTAGCTTCATGCTAATAGATCCATAGTTTATTAAAATAATGATCTATCTTCATTGGAATTAAAGTGATGCCTTAGTACAGTGCTAAAACATTTCAGTTTTGTAAAATAAAGCAAAAATGTTAACTATGTAAAATAACCCAAAAAACCCTCCCCTTTTGTAGAAAACCATGAGCTGTTTTCCAAGAGCTTCATCTCCATGGAAGTGCCTGTTATGGTAGTAAATGGCAAAGATGATATGCATGATGTTGAAGATGAGCTTGCTAAGCGAGTGAGTAGGTTAACTACAAGCACGACCATAGAAAACATCGAGATTACCATTAAGTCTCCAGAAAAAATTGAAGAAGTCTTGTCACCTGAAGGCTCACCTTCAAAATCACCATCCAAGAAAAAGAAGAAGTTCCGCACTCCTTCTTTTCTGAAAAAAAACAAGAAAAAGGAGAAAGTTGAAGCCTGAAAAAAGTCTTTTTATAATTATTATTATTACAATGTGACATTGCACATTTAAATACCACATTTAAGTTGATATTAATATGCAGTGGTAGATCAGATTGGGGGTATGTAGCAAACTGGACTTTAAGAACTGGAAAGAGGTTTTACTAAAAGAAAAACATATTATGAAGAAAACTTTCATCTCTCATTTTATATGTCCAAATAATGACTTTGAATTTTTAAACAATTGCTAGATTTAATTAACTCTGCCCTCATGAAGTATATTATAATCACCACAAACAGATATCTGTCTGAATTACTTCAGGCCTTCTCCATAATGTCTGTTGGAAAGAAATTGCCAGTGAACAAGTGAGAATTTTTATTTCTCAACATCTGTTTCACTTGGTAATCAGATTATAATTTTTTATCATAATTTTTGACTGTATCTTTTGAGTCCCCATTGTTTCAATGGGCATTAACAGAACGCTTTAAAAGCTTCTAAGACAAGAATCTATAGCATTAGTATACACTGGCACATAATTTTTTTAAAAGTTTTAAGAAAAGATTCGTTTGGAATTTTATTCACAGTATAAAATTTCCTCACCTGAAGTAACCTTGTTTGCCAAAAAAAGCTGTTTTAGTAAACTATAATTTTTGAAAACTTCCTTTTTTTATTAGTTTAGAAAGCCCCTTATTTTTCAACAAAGGGGATTTTGTACACATAACATGGGTTATTTAGTTTAACTCTGGCAAAAACAATTTTTGTATGTTAAGATGTTTGTATACCATTCAGTATAAAAGTGTCCTAAGCATATTAGCCAATCATTTAACAGTAGAGCCTATTTAAGTCTGCTTGGTACTGAGTATACTTAAATATAATTCAAGAATCCAGGGACTTGGTATCAAAAGGGGATTAGAGCATATAAAGGTACATCTAGATTCGTATTTGAATCTTATACTTTATTTTTCTCTTAGTATTGCTAATGAATGCAGAAAATCTCATAAAGTAACCAAATGAAAAAGAATGAAAGGGAAAGTGAAAAGGGAACAAAAGGTGGAATGTGAAAAGAAGAATCTAGTTTGATAACAACTCATATGTACAATATAGTATGATTTATTCAAAACATGTCCCAAATTTCTAAAATTCCATTTTTCTGCCAGAATCAATGACTTTCTTGGTTGATATTTGCATTTTAAAAGGGTCATTTCCTTCTAACTTGTGTTATCTTTAGAGGGCAGCGCTAGAAGAAATCAGTGGATCTTATCCTACCAATGAGAGAAAACTACCACTTCTTCATTTTTACAGATTTTAAAGAAGAATCTTCTCAGTTAATTTTCTGTCTAATGTAAATACAAATTTAAACCTAGGCATAATATAGGCTTTTCCCTCTTCACCCAAGCGATGTCATAAATCAATGTAAAATCAGTAATCCAAAGTGATCCATGGGTAAAAATAACCTGGAGTGTTTCTGGAGGGTGAGTTGGCATGCAACGGTGACATTGATTACAGTGTGTCCTGGGGCTGGTTCTGTTTGACTGTGTGTATGACCATGCAAAGC